CGCAAGATCGTCTTCGTACATGGTTGCTAGATCGTTGTCAGTTAACTCCGTTTACACGAGGGAGTAATATACACACATACACACACACACATGCATAGAGAGAGAGAGAGAGAGAGAGAGAGAGAGAGAGAGAGAAAGACATACACACACACATATATATTCCTCCGTTTTACCCCTACGAAGAAAAATATCTAAGAATAATCTCCCAACGCGAAACTACTTTTTTCTCTTTTTTATTTCATATATTTTTTATTTTTATCTCTTTCATTTCGTCGAAACAATTTTTGTCAAAATGCGCGCACATGAAAATGTTAAAAAAAAAAAAAAATAAAAAAAAAGAACTTTCGAAAAGAAAAAAGAAAAAAAACAAATAAATAAATTTCGTGTCAATAAAGAATGACTTTTGATATTTTATATAGCTCATTCTTTATCCGACACAATTTAAAAAATTTTTTTTTGTTTAGAGATTGTACAAAAAATTTACAATAATATATTACAACAAATAAATAAATAAGAGCACTTTTATTAATATGAAGATGATTAAAAGATTAAGTTCCTGGATGATTTCAATAATCGATTATATTCTCCCTCTCTCTTTCTCTCTCTCCCTCTCTCTCTCTCTCTCTCTCTCTCTCTCTCTCTCTCTCTCTCTCTCCCTCTCTTTCTCTAGAGACATTTTTTAGGCACGTAGCGTTACAATCTAAAGAATAAGAAGAAGAAAAAAAAAAGAAACTTATTCTAAAAAAATGTCGAAACAAAAGTAATCGATTTTTTAAATCACTTAGGAATTTACTTTCGTACCCAGCTATCTTATAATATCTGTGACCTACATTTCGATTAACTTTACTTCATGTTCAACGTATCGTATATCAAAATTTATGATACGTTCGTTAAACATTCCTTTCATGACGTGTATACATCGACGTGCAAATTTATGTTTCGTTTATTTTTTTTTTCTTTTTTTTTTCCTATTTTTTTTTCTCGTGAAAAAAATAACATGCAAAAAACGAAAACGTTTAGGTATTTACGATTTACGCTCTGTATAACTACATTGATAATCCTAATAGTTGGACACACGTGCACACGTAGGCTACAAAAAAAAAAGAAAAAAAAAAAATGAGAAAAACGGGGTTCCTTTTTTTCGTGAGTGACACTCAAACGAAAATTGAAACGAGAAAGCATAATTTCTTGGCTTCTCGCGGACGTGTGCGTTTCGTCGACGACGACGACGATGACGACGACGACGACGAAAAGCTTTTTAATTACAGCTTCGCTTTTTACGAAAGAGAGAGAGAGACCAAGAGAGATAGAGAGAGAACGAGAAACTTATAAATCCAACGAGACGGAATAAATTCGACGGAATTGCAAGAGGACGCGTCGTACCGTAGAGAAAAAAAAATTTTTCTTCAAAATCAACTCGAATCGAATCGAATCGAATTTTATTTTAATTTCTTTTTCTTCTTTTCTTCGTTTCTTCTTCTTCTTCTTCTTCTTCTTCTTCTTCTTCTTCTTCTTCTTCTTCTTCTTCTTCTTTTTCTTTCACTATTCATTTTTCACCAAAAATGATGAAGCGATCGTATAAACATTAATATTATACTGAGACATTAACTCCATTGAATCAAAATATAAAATGTCGAAGCGATCAAACGAACGGAATAGAACGAACGATAGAACGAACGATAGAGAATGGTGAAAATGAGATCTTAGCACTAAGATCTCACGTGCTAGTAACACTCAGCTGTTCCTTTATAAACTAATTAGAGTTAGCTACGCGAACGAATCTACGTATAGTACCGTAGCGTACAAGTTGGCCAAGTTAAATATCTAAGATGCAACAAGAACGTCAATTTTACTATTTTAGAATTTCTCAGTTCTTGTGCAAATCTTTGCGAAGGTTTCTTTTTTTCTTTTGTGAGACCTCGAAAAAAATATTTAAAAGGAAAAAAAAAAAATATACATATATACATACATAAATACCTATATACTTATATGTTCCAAAATATGGCGATCGAATAAAAGTAATTTGAGCGAGTTAAATACATTGTTTTAAATAAATGATCAAAAAATAATTACACACACAGAGAGAGAGAGAGAGAGAGAGAGAGAGAGAGAGAGAGAGAGAGAGAGAGAGAGAGAGAGAAAGAGAGAACTCACGGTAAAACAGAACGATGATATTAATGATTCACAATCGAAATAATTATCGATATGATATAAAATATATAAAATATAATATCTATTCATTCATATAAAAACAAAATATATATTCATTCCATTGAGATGGCCCAAATGTTTTCTCTGACACGATTATACAAAATCTATTTATTATTCTTTCTTCGTAATTTTCTCGGTTAATTTCTTCTTTTTATTTTTTTATTTATTTATTAAACAAATAAGGAAAATGGTCGGTTAAGCAGACCGGTCGACCAGTTAGACAATACAATGTGTAAGCATTTAAATCGTTTGTAAGTAGACAAGCAATGTACTATGAAAGAAATGACACATATATATACATATATATATATGTATACATAGATACATAAATACATACATGCATATATATATATATATATATATATATATATATATAGTTATGAAGATTGCATTGTGAAAGAATTTCATTTTCGTGTTATGAAATTCCATTGGAAACGAACGGATGGATTGTAAGAAAAATAAAAGAGAGAGAGAGAGAGAAAAAAAATTTAATACGATAATGCAACTTTACATAGAACATGAAAAGCAAGCTGTCCGTTACGAATTAAAACTATCTGTTTTCATTAAAAATATTGATTCTCTTTGTACATCCTCGATAACTTTTCTGTCCTCCTTTTCATCATCGTTGAATCATTAATGAAACGACAAAAAAAAAAAAAATACTGACCACAATTATTTTTCCTCTTTCTCTCTCTCTCTCTTTCTCTCTCTCTCTCTTTATATTCTTTTTCTGTTTTATAGAATAAATCCAAAATCCAGACGATTTAAAAACTCTATTATATTCTTTTTCAAGATAATTTTCAGACTCGTAATAAGCATCGTAATTTTACGAACTAAGTTTGTGAGGCCCTGTAATTTTAAGATCAAAAAAAAAAAAAAGAAAAGAAAAGAAAAAAAAAGGACAAAAACAGAATGACCAAACTTAACAAAAAAATCATTTCGTAAAAGGACTATACGAAAGTTTTATAGATCTTCGAATCTTCGTTAATAAAATTAAATAATCGATAATCAATTTTATTTAAGTTTACACTCGCAAATGTCACGTCGATATATTAAAGTATCAAATCTAACGCGAGCAATGAACAGCTCGTTCTTTCTTCTTCCTTAAAAAAAAAAAAAAAAAAATAGAAAAAAAAGGAGGGAAAAAAAAGAACAAATACTTAAAGAAATGTAAGAAAGACGTGGATACAACGTCGCAAATAATATCGTCGCAAGTAAGCATAAAGTACATATGTAAGTAAGCATAATTTGTAACGTCGATGAGGGGAAAAAAAAAAAAAAACAAAAAAAAAATCCCTCCCCAATCCTTGATCCTTCTTCCTCTGTTTCCAGGTCAATCAAATCGATATCGAATTAAAAATACGTAAAAATATATAAAAAAAAAAAAATATATGTAAGAAACAGACTAATACGAAACGATATTTTAAGTCGAATGAAAAATTTTCATTATTCCCCGTGCGACAAAATAAGATAAACGCGAATGAAATTGAGAGAAAAGAAAAGAAAGAAAAAAAGAAAAGAAAAGAAAAGAAAAGAAAAAAAAAAAGAAGGTAATACTCAAAGAGGCAATTAAGAGGATACGAGTAAGGTTTAATGATATTATCAGAATGTCCTAGGGTTTTCCGATAATCAACGAGCTTTTGATCGGATTATCGGAGGAAAGTTTTAGAAGGGAGAGGGGAGGGAGGGTGAATAAGAAGGGTGAAAGGGTGGAATGGAAGGAGAGAGTTCCTGAGGAGGAAAAGAAACGAGAGGGGAAGAAGAAAACTTGATGAGATGGCCGAAGGTTACTACTTCGTCGTCGTACACTTTGAACGACAAGAAGAAAGATAAGAAGGGACAACCAAAGAAGGGCTCTGGCGTGCTACCACCAACCAGCTGAGCCTCTCTTCTCTTCTCTTCACTTCTCTTCCCTTCTCACAATATGCTCGATTTCATGCTTGTCGTTACATAATATCGATGTCGATATATATATATATATGATTATATTATAATTAAACCTTAATCCAAGAACCTCGAGTACTTTAGTATAAGAAGTAAATTAGTTAATCGTGTATATTTACAAAAAAAAAAAAAAAGAAAGTAATGATACATCAAATATTTTATCCTAACTTTATCTCTCTTAACAATTTCTGGATAATGCTAATGTAACATTTTTTTTCAAATTTATAATCACTTTGTAAAATCATTATGTAAATCTTAATTCACAAATCTCGAATATTTTAGTGTAACAAGTGAATTAATAAATTGTGTATAATATTAAAAAAAAACAAAAAAAAAACAAGAAGATGATACATTAAATATTTTATATATATATACATATTATATATGTACATATATAATTAACTCTTAGTCCATAATAATTATGGATAATTTCGTGTCACAAACGAATTAATAAATTACGAGAAAAGCTTGTAATTAATATATCCTGCAATATAATGGATAACATATAATATTTAAACAAATGGCATCTTCAATATTTTATCCTAACTTCGTTGTTTAAAAATGTTCGACGATTAATATCTATGTATGTGAATTTCTTTAGATTTTTCTTTGTTTTTTTTCTTTTTTTTTTTTTTTTTTTCTTTTAAATTACTTACTCATTTAAAAATCTATCGATAATATAATAAAAACGTTCATCGTAAAAAAATATTTACGAATTATAAATTAATAAAACATTTATATGTATATGTATACGTATACGTATATTAATAATCGATTGAAATAACGTGAGAGATTTTATTTTTACGAAAAAATATATATGGAGATATATGTATATGCGTACTTACCTCGTGTAATGCGTAGAAACGTATAAACGCAGAAGTAGGAATGACAACTTTGTAGGACCTTTGCTCGACACTTCTCGGCTTTCATCGACTCCTCTCGACTCTTTCCTATGAATTTTCTACGTTCTCTTCGCGGTATTACGATGCTTCCAAGAAATGGTCCGACGAGGAGACGTCGATGTTGTTGTTGTTGTTGTTGTAGTTCCTTTTTTTCTTTCATCACCACTCGTCTTCTACCTATAAAAGATTAGTCTATAAATAATTTTGTATGAATACAAGCGTTATACGCAATATGTGTACGTACATATATATATGTATATGTACGTACTTTATACATTTTATATTTATTTTTTATTTTTTATTTTCTATATAAAACCTGAATATTATATTATATAAATATATATATATATATGTATATATGTATATATATATAGATTAAATATTATATTTGAAATAACGTTTAAATTTATTACGATACATTATCTTATATTGAACGAATTAAAAATATTTGTAATATGCGTTTTTAAAATTATAATGGCAAATTCAATAAACAAACAATACGATCGTTAAAACAAAATAATATCTTGATAATGGAACGAGCAATTGGTGAAAATGGCGTAATAGATGTTAGAAATTTTCTTGTCGATTTTTCGATCGTTCCTACGGAAATAACAAGTTCTGATCGAAAAATATCTACTCGAGCGAGTAAACGATATTTCGATAAAATGGATTATGATAGAAAAATAAATATTACCGTTAAAAAATCAAGCGGATCCAATCGAATCGCCCGATCAATATTTTCCGAAAGCACTCGCGAACTACTCGTTGATCTTTTACTGTTACCTTCTTCCTTACAACGTTGGTCAAGCGACAATAGCCAACTACCAAAGTCATATTGAATGTAATAGACCATCAAATAATATTTTTATAATTCGATATTAACTCGATAATATAAAATTATTATTCGAATATTATTATTTTTAATATTAAAAGACTAATCTTTTATCTATAATACGCTGTACATAAGAAATAAATATATACATGTACATAAACGTTTTATAAATTTCGATTATTACGTCATAACGAGATTAATTTGTACGACAACGATGGTACACCAAAGTCAAGCGAAGTATTTAATAAAATATATCTCTTAATTATTATCTCACGATATGTAATAAATAATTTGGTCACGAGTATTAGAAGCACAAAAAAAGAAAAATTTTTCATTATATATATGTATATGTATATATATATATATATAAATATTATTCGTATACACTCGATTTAATATATCGAGATTATTTTGATCAACGAGGTAGTTACGAGTGAAAGTGAGAGAAAGAAAGAAAGAAAGAAATGATGGGACATTCGTTTTTAGTCGATTGAGTATGTATACACATATACGCATTTGCGAGATAGGATTCACGTATAATAATAGAGAGTAGATTACAATCTTAACCTTTTTAACGATCGAATTAATGACGATTTACGTTCAATCGTGGCTTCGAATAAAATTTACCATCGAATGTGTAAAAATCTATGATCCGGTTCGTATAATCATTCGTAGAATTTGTATTTGTTTTTTTTTTGTTTTTTAATCAGTGGATTCGACGATGCATTTTAATCGAAATCATTCGACCAATTTGTTATATTTTTTTTTTCTTTTTATTACTTTTTGTTTTTTATTCGAAAATTATAAGAATCTCTTTCGAATTTAACATGAATACGTATTCTTAATATTTTAACAATTTGACGAAATACAAATCTAAAATGGACGAACACTTTAAACTAGTGAAAGTAAAAGTGAAATTCGCGAGAGTTAATTGAAATCGTTCGACCGTAAATGTGTTGTTTTGTGCATATATGTGTGTGTGTGTGTGTATGTGTGCGTCTGTTAACGTACCTATCAGGCAAAATAATGAAAATACTTCATTTTCATTAAACTAATTGTTAATAGAACTATTATAAAATATAGACAAATTATTATAAAATAGTTAATAGTTCGATCATCGATAAGAATTATTCATCTACAAATACAATCTAATTTCTAATAAGATAAAACCTACAAACACAATCATATGACGTACTTATATTAATTTCTCATTAACGTAAAAGCGTATTAATTGATCGAAATAATGTAACCGTGGTATTTTCATTATTTCAAATTCAACACTACTTTATTGTTAATTGTTCAAATAATTCTAATATCGATCGAATATATAATCATCATTTTATAATCATTATCGTTAATATTCGTTAAACTTTGTAAAGTCGATAATACGTGAAGTTTATTAAACGTCGTACTTCCACGCGATTGGTCCACTGGCTAACGTCCACGATATTTACGAGATGGGAGAGGTTAGAATAATGAAAATAAAAAAAGAAAAAAAAAATGTTAAACCGCAAAATTAAAAAAGTGATAAAAGTAATACGGTGAGATTGTACTAAATTAAATTAGATAAAAAAAAAAAAAAAGAAAAGAAAGTAGATATTTTATTTAAACATTTACGAGGACGCATTCGCGAGTGGAAAAACATATTCTGCGAGTATATAATAGCTCAATAAGGATTATCCTAAGAGATTTTTTTACATATGCGAAAATATTATAAAAGGTCTGGTCGTGACAGGAAAAAAAAAAGAAAAGAAGAGAGAAAAAGAAAAAATAATTATATACTTAGATTCCGATGGTAGGATGATGAGAACGACGAAGTGGGGATAGAAGGGATATAAAGGAAGCTTTACAATTTTAATTCGTAATTGCGACGTTGTACGACAAGGATGGTGGCGCCACGTATGCTTATAACAGCATCTATATCATTTTTCGTTTCTTTGACGAACGTTTAAGACGTCATAGCGGTATCGACCGGCGGATCTTTCATTTCTATCCGTGAATGATTTCATTTTGTTTTAATTTAATAAGCGTAACGATAATATTTCCTCGTAGGTGAATCTATTTAATAAGATAAGATCGATAAATACGTATTTCCATGGTGTTTTCAGTGTGTAACGTTTTGTGAAATTGTGCATTGTGTTTGCATTGTGCTTCGTATAAGAAGAAGGAAAGAGGGGAAGAGGGAGAGAATATCGCAACGTACTTTTGGTGCAACGAAGAAAGAAGATTTGGCAGATTTCTTGAATAATTCTACTGATAAGGTGAGTACTTAAATAAATCTTATCTTTGTTTATTTAAAGAATAATACGTAAATTGAAAAAATATTATATATATATATATAATTATCGTTTAAATCTATTCGTCTCGATAGAAAAATGATAAATTATGGATTAATGGCGTTGCTTCGATTCGAACGGTAGCCATATTTATTTATTTATTTATTTAAAAATTTTTCCCCCTATTGTTTTCTCTCTCTCTCTCTCTCTCTCTTTCTCTCTGGCTCCGCGTAATGACGCAGAATAGAGAAATAATTCTCGCATAATTGAAATTGGTACGTATTCGAAAATATAATTCGAATGAGCATGTGTAACATACATGCATGCATGTCGTTTGATTAACGACTGTGCTTTTGATATAGAAATTTCATTTCTATACGCTGCTTATAAATGCGATACTCTATTTATGCGATAATCAAATCACTTTACGAAGAGAGGTTCTCGATTCAAAGCTTACTCGTTAAACGGAATATGAATACAAGTGTATATATGCACTATATATGCATGCATATATATATACATATATGCATACATACATATAATATGTGTGTGTGTGCGTGTATGTATATATATGTATATCATATCGTATATGGTTTAGTATAATTTATAATGAGTGCGAGGTTACACGTTAATGAAATAATGACAAGTAACTTTAGCAAAAGCCAAAGCAATGTCGATGAATATATGTATCACGGATATGAAAATAATCGATATTATTCGTGCACTTGTACGTGCTTGCGCGTACACACAAACATACAAACATACAAACACACAAATACACAGTATGAATTATTGCGTTTAAATAATCATAATATTAGATTGGATTAGATTTTTCTTATCTTTCGTAAAGAATATTATTTACCAATATATATATATGTATATTGGTAAATATTTTTTACATATCAATATTCAAGTATACGTATTAATTCAAATACACCCTTACTAATATCAAAGGATAATGGAATCGTTTTCGTTTTTTTTTTTTTTCATTTGTGTGTGTGTGTGTGTGTGTTGTGTATTCATATTTCTTTTTATTTCGTTTAATTTTACGATCGATAAAAAAAACTCATCATTTATACAAATCAATTAATTAATTAATTAATTAAATAATTAGAAATAAACGTTTGCCTTTTTAACTTTTATTAATTGCGTCTTTCGTTGTTTACAATTTTTTTTTTCTTTTTTTCTTATAGTATTCCTTCTCTCTCTCTCTCTCTCTCTCTCTCTCTTTTTTTCTTTTTTACATTGAATGAACAAGTTTATGTGTCGGTATGAAAATTGATAAACAAAATATCTCGAATTCATTGGGCACGATACGTGTAAACGTAAAACGAGCTCAATTACTTTTGAATTTATCAATAAAATTGCACGAAAACTGAATGTAGGTACTATTGAAGTCGTTCAAATAAATAACACCGAACTCAATTCGTTGAAACAAATTAACTCACTCTTTCCCTCTTTTTCTCTCTCTCTCTCTCACTCTCTCTTTCTCTCTCTCTCTATCTTTCTCGCTGTTTCATGTTCTTTTTCCCTCATATTTTCATCTATTTTATTTAATTTGATCTAGCCAGATGAAGTTAGATGTACCGGTGACAAGCTCGTTCGACTAGATTTTTCCTATGTCTAGAAAAATTTATGCGATAAAAACCACGTAACCCCTTTGGGAAATAAAGAACTTTAGGTGGTCGTGGCTTATTTTTCTTTTCTCTTTTTCCGCATTTTTTCTTTTTTCTATTTTTATTTTTCTTTTTTTGTTTTCTTTCTTTCTTTTTTTTTTTTTTTTTTTAAATTCGTTGAAGCTTTTACATTTTATGTATGTATGTATATATATTTATCTTTTTTATTTTTTTATCATTTTCGAATATAACAAAGGAATCGTACAATTGAAAATGTTTCGCGAAATCGATTAATAATACGTATTAAAAAATAAAAAAAGAAAAAAGAAAAAAAGGAAAAGAAAAAAATAAAAAAAAAGAAGGAACTGTAAAATAAAATAAAATAATAATTAAAAAAGAAAAAAAAAAAAAAAAAAAGAAAGAAAAAAATATCGGCTCGTGGCTATCGATAACGAAACGTTCGTTGATAATATTTACCTGTAATCGTCACGAACACTCGGCGGACTGCATTCTCTTGTCTTGTAAAAAAGAAAAAAGAAAAAAAAAAAAAAAAAAAAAGAAAGAAAGAAAAAATAACGCACACGCACGAGCACACACACACACACACACACAGACAGAACGAGAGACACGCGCGCGATCAGAGAAGAAGATAGGAGAGATATAAAAACGAATTAAGAGAAAAAATCAAATCGTCGATGCGATTAAAGAGAGAAAGAGAGAGAAAGAAAAAGAGAAGGATGGAATGATAAAATGAGTGAAAGAGGATAGCGGGAGGGGACGAAGATCGATCCTCTTGTCGAAGAGGAGTTTTCTCAACGATTCGCAAACGTTCGTAGTCTCTCTACTTCTTGTGTTAGTAAAGCTGAAGTCAAGTCTCACTCGCGATCTAAAAAAAAAAAAAAAAAGAAAAGAAAAGAAAAAGAAAAAGAAAAAATCTGTACGATCTTCCGAGGATATATTGGTGACGTCGAGATAAAAAGATGGAAAGGAAGGGGAGAAAGAAAAAATGAAGGAAAGAAAGAAGGAAACAAAAGGAAGGAAATAAATAAATAAATTAATTAATTAATTAATTAATTAATTAATAAACGAGACACGACACTCGTTAGAGGTGGGAGGAAGAGGAGGAATAGGATGTTTCTCTTTAGTTTTTTCTCTTTTTTTCTTTTTTTTTCCTCTATAATAACACAGAAGCTATTATTTTTAATCAAATGCACAGTCACACTCACGTTATTATTACGCTAACAACAACGTCCTTCGATATTTTAGAATATTTTATATGTATTATATATATGTATATTTTTTTTTTTTGTGTTTTTATTTTATTTTATTCCTTTCTTTTTACGTTTTTACTCTTTCATTTGTCTGTCTCTCTTATTTGAATGTTTATTTCTTTTTTTTTTTTTTTTGTTTATTTTTTTTTATTTGTCTATTTTTCTTTTTGTTCCTTTCCTTTTCTCTCCGCGTAAAAAATTTTTTGATCGACACTGTTAACACTACGAGGAACGAAGAAGAAGAAGAAAATGAAGAAGAAGATGAAGAAGATGAAGAATCCATTTGCATAGATATATACGCATGTCCGTGAACGATGCGCGAATGACGCAGGAGTCACGAGGTTAAAATAAAACGAAAAACCAACCGCCGTGTTTGTTCCCGTTTATATTAAAAACTGAACACCAACATACACTATATATATATATATATATATATATATATATATATATATATATATATAATGTGTGTATGTGTGTATCAAGTAAAAATAAATTTTTGTAATTATTTAAAAAAATATTTCATCGACGATATAAATATCACGATAGTACCGACGAACAGAGTGCTCTTTCACTTTAAAAGAGATTTTACTACTTGATTGAATAATTTGAAAAATAAAAAAAAAAAAAAAAAAGAAAAAAAAAAGATTAAGAAAAACCTAGAATAGATAAAAGGGAAACGAGAGAAGTGACGGTGTAAAAAAAAAAAAAAAAAAGAATAAAAAGAAAAAAAAATACGATAGAAAAAGAAAGAAATAAATTAATGAAAAGAAGTAAAGGAAGAAAGTCAAGTCACCTTCGAACGTTCATTAAACGTTCTCAACGTCGGAGTTTTCACATATCGTTGATTCACCAAAATTGTTAGTCCTCTTTTTCGACACTTCTCTTGTTTTATTATTATTATTATTATTATTATTATTATTATTATTATTATTATTATTATTAATTTATTATTATTAATTTATTATTATTATGACATAAAATGTCGTTCGCTCGAAAGAAGAAGAAGAAGAAAAAAAAACATTCGAGTTTTTCACTTGGAGAATAATTATTTTCTCTCTCTCTCTCTCTCTCTCTCTCTCTCTCTCTCTCTCTCTCTCTCTCTCTCTCTCTCTCTCTCTCTCTCTTCTTTCTCTCTCTCTCTTTCTCTCTCTCTCTCTCTCTCTCTTTCCTTACGTCACTTGTTTGCAAATTAATCGAAAGCACCACTTTTTTATTTTTTCGTTCTCACAGAACCGACCGATAGTATCGTCGAATGACTAAACGAACTAATGAATGAACGAACGAACGAACGAATGGGTAAAAAAAAAAAAAAGAAAACAGAGAAACGGAGATGAAACTGACGAAAATCCCATCCGAATACCGTGCGCGCCGAGGATCGGGCGGTGACTGAAACCGCCGTCCTGTCTTGCTCTCTATCTTCCTCTCACTTTCCCTCTCCCCCTCCCTTTGGCCGCGTTCGCGCCCTCTTTATCTCTCTCACTCTCTCTCTCTCTCTCTCTCTCTCTCTCTCTCTCTCTGTCTCTCTATCTCTATCTCTATCTCTTTCTGTCTTTCACATATACAGTCTCACCCTCTACCTCGATACTACCCCTTCCCTTCAAATCTCTCTCTCTCTCTCTCTCTCTCTCTCTCTCTCTCTCTCTCTCTCTCTCTCTCTCTCTCTCTCTCTCTCTCCTGTTCTTTTCCTAACACATATATCTTTCTCTTTTTAACATTGCCTTACTTTTCTATATCTGTGATACTTCTCTATCTCTTTTTCTAGTTCTTTTGCACTCGTATAGAATATTTCGTCTATCCATCCTTTCTACGCACATACTCGTTCTCTCTCTCTCTCTCTCTCTCTCTCTCTCTCTCTCTCTTTCTTTTTCTCTCATTTTTTGACTATGTGTATCTATCTCTCTATCTCTTTTTCATAATTTTTCTCTTTTTTCAGCCTTCTTCTTTATCGTTCACACCAATGCCCTTTGCATCCTTTTCTTTCCCTTAATCTCTCTTAAACTTCATAATTTCTCTGATTCACGTACGCACAGACACTTTTTCTCCCTTTTTCTCTCACTCTTTCTATCTTTATCTCTTTCTCTCTTTCTATTTTCTTTGGAGTGATCC